TCCATGTATACCGGTAGAATTTATTCCTGTTTAGAATAGTGAGCCAAAACTTTGATTACTAGAGTGTATGGCATCCATGATGTCCATGTATACCGGTAGAATTGATTCCTGTTTATAATAGTGAGCCACAGCTTCGATTACTAGAGTGTATGGCGTCCATGATCTCCATGTATACCGGTAGAATTGATTCCTGTTTATAATAGTGAGCCAAAACTTTGATTACTAGAGTGTATGGCGTCCATGATATCCATGTATACCGGTAGAATTGATTCCAGTTTATAACAGTGAGCCATAACTTTGATCTCCATGTATACCAGTAGAATTGATTCCTGTTTAGAATAGTGAGCCAAAACTTCGATTACTAGAGTGTATGGCATCCATGATGTCCATGTATACCGGTAGAATTGATTCCTGTTTATAATAGTGAGCCACAGCTTCGATTACTAGAGTGTATGGCGTCCATGATCTCCATGTATACCGGTAGAATTGATTCCTGTTTATAACAGTGAGCCAACACTTCGACTAATAGAGTGTATGGCGTCCATGATCTCCATGTATACTGGTATAATTGATTCCTGTTTATAATAGTGAGCCAACACTTCGACTAATAGAGTGTATGGCGTCCATGATCTCCATGTATACCGGTAGAATTGATTCCTGTTTATAATAGTGAGCCAAAACTTCGATTACTAGAGTGTATGGTGTCCAAGATGTCCATGAATACCGGTAGAATTGATTCCAGTTTATAACAGTGAGCCATAACTTTGATCTCCATGTGTAACGGAGCTCCTTGTACTCCGACTGAGTACCCTCCGTTGACGGATGCTCCTAGCGCTTCCTGAGGACTCCAAGCACTGCAGCAGACACCACAACCACCGCAGCCTCCGAAACCGCCGTATCTTGACTGGAGTCTCGCCGTCTTCCTTCCACCCTGGATCAGCTTCTGTCCTCCAGGACTGTGTGGGAAAGAACTCTTCCTTCCACCCTGTACAAACCTCCAGCATCCAGGACTGTGTGGTGAAGACACCTCCTCCAAGGAGAGCCTGTCAGTAACAAGCTCTTAAAAGAGCTAAGTGACTCAAGCTCAGGGGAGCATGCAGAGCATAGCAATCCCCAGTGTTATTATAACAGCTCCCTCCAATAACGAGACAAGGCTACGTTTAGAGGGATCAAGAAGAACTGTCAAAACCTTTATTCCCTTGGGACCAGCCAATACAGTCACCACAATAACATTGTTGTGAAACCTCAATAAAATCACAAACAGTCAAACCATATCAAGAAACACACAGTGACTTATCACAACACAATGGCACATTTTTAAAGGGGTGGGGGGAGACAATATTTAACAGTAAATATCTCACCTGCCTGCAGAATTAGCAATATGCAAATCTACCCGAATATGCAAATGAACCAGTCTTGCAATTCAGGTAGTGCATATTGCTGTTGCTACCAACAGAGGGCACTAGACCAGCTCCATAGCCAAACCCACCTAGTTGGTAGCAAACCTCAGCAATACAAGAGAGCAGGCAATACATTACACAGTACATACACACACACTATAAACAATTACATTACACACACCCTGCACCTATAATGGGTACAGGGTGACTAAAACATAAGATAAATAAAGCAGCCTACATAAATAGTCTGTCTGAAGGTAGAATAGGGGCTTTAAAGCCAGATGCATGAAAGAGTCATAGTCACAGGGGAGGAGGCTGGCAAGTAGGCCTCTCCAGGACCAAGTGGCGAAGGGCACTTCGTCACACCATGTATACCAGTAGAATTGATTCCTGTTTATAATAGTGAGCCAAAACTTCGATTACTAGAGTGTATGGCGTCCATGATCTCCATGTATACCGGTAGAATTTATTCCAGTTTATAATAGTGAGCCAAAACTTTGATTAGTAGAGTGTATGGTGTCCATGATGTCCATGTATACCGGTAGAATTGATTCCTGTTTATAATAGTGAGCCAAAACTTCGATGACTAGAGTGTATGGCGTCCATGATCTCCATGGATACTGGTAGAATTGATTCCTGTTTATAACAGTGAGCCAACACTTCCATTAGTACAATGTATGGTGTCCATAATCTCCATGTATACCGGTAGAATTTATTCCTGTTTATAATAGTGAGCCAAAACTTTGATTACTAGAGTGTATGGTGTCCATGATGTCCATGAATACCGGTAGAGTTAGAAGGCCAGCCTGGCATGAATACATGTAAGGCTGCCTGCCAATCGTGCAGCTGGCCAACTAAGGGCATACTACGCAGACAGCACCCTGAGCTTGGCATAAATGTGTCTAATGATGCGCTCACTCAACGCTTTCCAAGGACTGTACCCTAGCACTCGCTGGTCCAGTTGTCTCCTTACCTTCTTACTAGCAGGCAGAAGCTCCTGGTATATAGTGTGGGACAGAGAAAAGCTGTATGTAGTGAGTGTAGAAGAAAGGGAACATGTCACAGTGTTAGAGAGACCAAAGTCAGCATTACCTTAACAATATTCATTGTCAGACAGTCCACACAAGTTTTGTTTCCATACATCCCTCTTAAGTTTCCATACAAAAGCAAGAGTATGTGAAAAGTAGATAGGGTTGCCACCTTTCTTGGAAAAACATACCGGCCTTACTAATTTGCATAATTATTATGTATGGGTGACATTACATGATGTAAATCACAAGTAGTGACATAAGAGAAAATACTGTAAAATCACCAAAAACCTACTTACAGTAGACATGGGGACACAGACACCAGGGACACAGACACTAGAGACACTGGCTGGGGGACATGGGGACATTGTGACATGGGGGCACTGGGAGACATGGGGACACTGAGACACCAGGGTCACAGACACTAGGGCACTAGCTTGGAGACATGGGAACATTGAGAAACTTGGGGCACTGGGAGACATGGGAACAGTGAGACACTGAGAGACTAGGGGACACTAGGAGACTAGGAGCACTGGGTGACATGGGGACAATGGGTCCCCATGTGTCTCTGTGTCATAATGTCTCCAATGTCCCTTAGTGTCTCAGTGTCCCCATGTCTCCCTGCAGCCTTTCCCCCCATCCCTCACTTCTCTGAGCTGTAGACTGTCTCTGCAGGGTGGGAGTTGCTGTATAAACTCTCTGTAGCTGCTCCCCTGTAGATCAGTGAGTAGAGATGGGCATGGAGGGATATGCTGGAACTTCCTATCCTTGCCTCTCTCCACACACAGCGACCCATACTGGCCCGTGCTGGTATTGCATAGTAATCTCTGTTTATACTGAGAAAAATACCAGCATTTGTATTGCCAGTATGACTGCAATATTGGCACCAGCCAGGCAGCCTCAAATACTGGCTGTGCCAGTAAAATAAAAGCCAGGTGGAATCAATATATTTTATACACCAGAGTATGAAAATATTGCCCTCTGGCTTATTGCATCATTTAAATAACCTTTCTACATGAAATGACTAATCTGCATCTGTTTATTCACTTAACACTGAATTGTCATAAACCTAAAACAAGAATTATACATTTCAGGCAAATAAAGCCCAGCTGTGACTATAGCCAAATTGGACACTTTTTCCAAATCATATTTTTTTTGCCTAAATGTTGCAATTCTAGTTTACAATCCATAACAAGTTGGTAATCAGTGAATAAACTCCCATAGATAGGATTAACCAAACAATATTCTCAAAATGCCAAATGCTAAAATTGAAACATTTTCAACCTCAATCAAAATGGAGGGTTTCTCCAACTCTACCTTTTGAACCTATTTTTTGTAAGTTAGTTCTCAAGTCTTCTCCGCATACTATTTAGAGGATGGACCTCATATAAATCCATACGTGCCTGCATTTCAAATGGACACTGGGATACTTTCATTTTAGGGGTGTGAGTCGGGGTGTGGCCAGAGGCGGAGCTGTTCTGAGACATTTTAGGAGACTTACTAATAACAATTTATGCAACTAAAATGTGCTTTAGAACAAGAACAATGTATCTTATTTGCACAGACTGGTTTAAAAACATGTTTATTGTAGCTTAAAGATACATTACTGTGTGGAGCCCTGTTATATACTTGTACACACCAATAATATGGGACTCCAAGAAAAGAAAGACATTAGGATAGACAAGAGAGACGGGGATTAGGGATCAAAATAGGGACTGTTGCTCCTAAATAAGGACGTATGTAGCTTTCTCTTCATGCTACAGAATCTAATTTTATTAATTATTAATACATACTAAAGTAATGTTAATATAGAGGTTTTGCAAGTTATGTAATTTGAACACATTTATATAGTCTCCAAATCAATGTATTCTATTGTCACAAATTACATCAATGTCAAAAATGTCAAGTGAGAAAAAAATAATGACATGTATTTATATATCATTATAGAATTAATTATAATCAGAATTGTGCTCACATTGGAAAAAAAAAAGAGGAATTCCACAGCAGGCCGTAATAACTTCAGACAGGGCTCACTGTGCATTATGGGAAATACCATTCCCAGACATGTGCTTTGCAGTTACCCATATAGGATGTCAGTGGTAAAAGAACACACAGGGATTCCAAAACAATAGACTGAAGACTTATGATATAATCTACACAGACACAAAAGGGAGGGAACATCCAAAGATATGGCTCAAAGGAAAATGTGTGTTATTCAAACTGACACACCTTCCCTTCAAGGCATTGCTCTGAACTAGCTGCAATGGCAACTTTAAGGCAAGGAAATCATTTCCTGTTAGTCACAAATAGTAACAAAATCATGTTGAAGGATGATTTATAAGCGCCTAGAGATTACAAAATAAGACAAAAAATGCACCCTCTAGGACTTGCCAAAATGAAAATGTTTAAAACGGAAAACAATATATATATATATATATATATATATATATATCCCAATATATTGTATATTATATCTGTCTCTCTATCTCTCCATCTATCTAAAAAACACTTAAATCCTTGCACGCAGATTGACCCAAATGTTTAGGTGCCGGGTGCACAATGAGCCATTGCCAAAAATATAATATAGTAAAGGACGGCTTGCGCTCACGATCTTTTGGAGATAAAAAATATTCCTTTATTAGATGTTATTCCATAAAATCATCAACGTTTCAGCCCTCGTTCGGGGCTTTCCTCAGGATCAACCATCAATATTGATCAATATGGACCAAAAAACGTGAGTGCAAGCCGTCCTTTACTATATGATCTATCTCTCTCTATATCTCTCTTTCTATCTTCCGTCTGTATATCTATCTAATAATAAGCTTTCTACCCGTCTGTCTTTCAATTATAATAAATAAACAATAACATACACATAGTAGAATATATCAATAGTTGGACAGACATTTTAATGTTAAAATCCATTAGTAAGCCCCATGAGCAGAACACACTTGTTAGAATTTGATGTGGCGGCTATAACAAACAGGTAAAATCATACGAATTATAAAAAGGGAAAAGTGTTTGAGAAATAAAAAGGATACCCCTTCATCTCACTCGCAGACTTGGGAAGGGGGAGTTTAATGGTGCATGTGCACCCCCAGCTGTCAAACAGTTATTGACATCTGGTACCAACTTTATTTAATAGCATTAGGACATTTTCAAGATTCCAGTCAACTGACTGGTGCCATACATATCTACTGTGTCTTCGCACATAATTAAGCTGCCAACAATACTTTGCCCTCTGCATGCTTTTTGTTGTCAATGCTGGAGGAGATCTGAATCCAGCTGTCTGTCATTGCTCCTTCCACCATGCAATATTCTCAGAGTGAGAGTGGGAAGACATATAAATTATCATTGGCCAATTAGAGAGTACAGGAAAGAGCAGTAACAGGCAGCCACGTACAAATATCCAACTCCTGTCACTGCTGCGGCACCAATACCACCAACAATATAGTGGGTAATGCATTGCTAGTGTTCACCTGGCACACAGCTGCATGGTGAGTACAGAACATGCCAGTTCCTAACTACGAACACTTAGAACAATAGAAAACTGAAAGAAAGAGATGGGACATTCCTATTATGAGGAGACATAAAGAAAGTTGCATGGAATGAGGCGAGTGAAAGAAAAAGGGGAGATTAATTAGAATAAGATGAGGAGACCGTAAATAATAACCAGGCAATGGGTAGAAATAGATTGGGGGAGAGAGGAGAGGGGAAGATGGGGTCAGGAGTATGAAACGTGAATTACCTGTGGTACAAGCTAAGAGAGATAGTGATAGGAGACACTAAATGTTGGTTGGGAGTCAGACAGCGGACGGAGAAAGATTAAGGAAGATACATTGAATCATGATGGACATAGAGTAATGGGAAAACAGAGGATGATGGAAATGGGACAAGAAATAAGAGGAGGGATATTTAGTGAGGGAGATAGTGAGGGAGATAGTACGAGTGCAGATCTACAGAATGAAAAGAGAGTCAGGGGATATTGGGGGAACCTGGAATCAGGTGGAGATTAAAAAAAATTTAATTAAATTTACAAAGAAAATAGATTGAAAATATACATGTCATAAAGTGGGGCATGGGATGGGGAGGGATATGTAATGAGGGAGGGAAAGGGACCAGTGGAGGTACATGGTGACATGTATGGCCACCGCTAGAACCGAGTCACACATCTTTATGGATTGCTAATAGCAGCATGATGAATTGTGAAGCTTATAGAAACTGTATGTAAATTAGTCTGCTCAGCTATTTTTCCTGCACTGATTACAAAAAGAAAAATTGCTATGTCTGGATTTTGTTTGTTGCCTTTTGGATTATATCATTCCCATAAACAGTACAGTTTCCCATGTTTGTCTTTGTACGGTTCAGGATGTTTTATATAAAGGAAAGCCATAATTACACAGAAAGTGTTAGTTCCCTACACATTTCTCTGCAGTAATAACATTGTGTGCATTCCTACCTCCCTCTCTCCCCTGCACAGACAATGATGGCAGAGTTCTGTTTGTTAAGGAAACACTGACATCATTAGAACAAACGTATAGTATGCTGCTAAAGGATTATCTTCCTAAAACTATTAAAATAACAATACATTGGACGGTCACAATGTATTATATACATAACATAGCTGGCAACTATTGAGACTGGTAAAACCTTTAAAAACATTTCCTGGGTTTCACATACAATCAGTGGTGTATTTCCCACGAGGCTAACAAGGCATTTGCCTTGGGCGGCACTATTAGGGGGCGTAAAAAAAAGCCGCCCCCTAAGCGCCCTGGCAGATACATTGATAGCCTCTTTCATTGGGGCCCAAGAGTTGGCAGGCTGGTTTTCAGAGTGCGGACGAGGGGAACGCGAGGGTGATGCTGGGAGCCGGGATGATGTCACTCCGGCATCACTGAGCGGCGCGCAAGGGAGCTGAGCAGAAGGAATACAGCTCCCTCACTGCCACAACTGTGTGCCTGCCTGCCTGCCTGCCTGCCAGAAAGTCCAGCCACCAGCAGCAAGCCCTCCCAGCCCAAACACAAGCAGCAAGCCTTCCCAGCCCAAACACAAGTAACAGCCAGTCCAGCAGCCAGCCTAGCAAACCCCAGTGGACCCCAGGGAAGAATCCACTTCAGCTATCCCAAAGGTAGGGAGGCTGGGTGGATTAAAATAAAAATTTTAAAAATATATGTAATACTTTGTAAGTGTGAGTGTGTCAGTATCAAGGTGTCTGTCAGTGAATGTGTGTGTATGTATCTATCAATGAATGTGTGTCAGTGAATGTGTGTGTCAGTGAATATGTGTGTGTGTGTCTGTCAGTGAATATGTGTGGGTCAGTGTGTCTGTGAGTGAATGTGTGTGTATCTGTCAGTGAATGTGTGCATGTCTGTCACTGTCTGTCCGAGTGAGTGTTTCTGTCACTGTGTATGTGAGTGAATGTGTGTGTCTGTCAGTGTATGTCTGTGAGTGAGTGTGTATCTGTTAGTGAGTGTGTCTGTCAGTGAATGTGTGTGTCTGTCAATGTGTGTCAATCAGTGAATGTATGTCACTGTGTATCTGAGAGTGTGTGCCTGTCGGTGAATGGCTGTCAGTGAGTGTCTGTCAGTCAAACTGCGTGTTTGTCTTAAACAGGAAGAGATGGAGAGTGGGTGCCTGAGTTTCGTCCTGCCTAGGGCAGCACATATCCAAAATACACCACTGCATACAATTGACAGGTTTGTTTCTGCGGGCAAACAGCTCACCAGCATTAACAGGTTAAAGCATCATAGCGTTAGGAATACAAATGTCTGGTGACATGTCATCTAAACAGGGATGACTTAACAGGGGGAGAGGTGTGATAGTAGGTCCTCCCACTTTACTATTATAATTAGGGCTCCCATCTACCACTAATGGGTTGGGGGTTTGGGGGCACACTAGATACGCCCGCATAAATATTAGAATGGCCTCTACCCAATGCCGATGAGTCTTTTCTAGAGACTGGACAGCAATGGTTGCCCTGTTGCTAGTTTTAAACATTTAGTAGATATGCGGCAGATGGGCACACATGTAGGTAAAATAACTCCACTATAGTAGTATAGGGGTGTTACTGACACACACATAGCATTTCTATTTATTAGTTCATTCATTTTTTAAAAATGTTTGTAATGTGGTGGCTACTTGCAGGCATATAGTACAAATTTGCTTTATACACGGACCTGGTTTTGAGACCTTCGGACCGAAATTTGCAGCATTTGTTCCAGATTGCAAATACGAAAAAAACAAGTCCTGCACTCAAACTCCCATCACTCCTCGGCGGCAGCAACGATCATAGTACACATCAGCCCCAATACATACAGTAAAAACCAAAGAAAAAAGTTACCTGCACTCTCTCCCAAATCCCTAAGTATATTTAAACAAATGGAGGTTATTTAGTTACTCCAATGGCCATTGGAAGGAATGACCGCCTGCCAACGTCAAGGCAAACCTCTCAGGTGGGTCCTACACTAACCTTTCATCTTGCTTCCTTGATACCAGATACGAGAACCTCTCGGCATTTCACTTATACTGAGCATTAAAATCTCCGCATTCCATAACCAGCCAACGCGGTACAGTTGAAAAGAAGGATGGCTGAGGTTTGTGTGAGTTGCATTGCATAGCAGTTAGTTTACTAACAGCTGGCCATGCAATCAGCAGATGGTTATAGGGTTATAGTTTTAGAGCCTCATGTTATCGCTCCAGTATTCCGCTTGTCTGAGTCATCGCTGACCACAACTGTGCGGACACAAATCCAGAAATATAGCACATTATAGAAAATATATTTTACCATTAAAATCACCCACATCAAAGTAGCAGACATGTCCGAGATGCATGAGATAATAAAACCACATTGTAAAAGTCAGGGCTCGAGTCCTGCAGGAATGCATGGGAACGGCGTTCCTGCACTTTTTCCAAAGCAGGAACGCCGTTCCCATTACCTGTCCTGCAGGACCGGCCCTGCTACCTGCACAGAGAGGCCAGCACACGCTGTGTTCCCTCTCCAGCTATAACTCTCACGAGACCCGCGGCTGTTACCATGGCAACGCTCCGCACAGGCGAGTCTCGTGAGAGTTAGAGCTGGAGAGGGAACACAGCGTGTGATGGCCCCTCTGTGCAGCGGCTGGCTCCCTCCAGCATACCACCGGACCACCAGGCGACCTCCCTCCTCCCTGACAAGGTAAGAAGCAGGGAGGGGGGAATAAAATAAAAATTATACGTAAAGTTAAAAAAAATGTTCCCTTCCCCCCCATCATCCAGCACTCACTTACACACCCATCATCCAGCACACACACACACACATCATCCAGCACTCACTCACACATCCATCATCCAGCACACACTCACACACCCATCATCCAGCACTCACTCACACACCCATCATCCAACACACACACACACATCATCCAGCACTCACACACACATCATCCAGCACACACACCCATCATCCAGCACACACACACCCATCATCCAGCGCACACACACCCATCATCCAGCACTCACACACACATCATCCAGCACTCACACACACACCCATCATCCAGCACACACACACCCATCATCCAGCACTCACACACACATCATCCAGCACTCACACACACACATCATCCAGCACTCACACACACACATCATCCAGCACTCACACACACATCATCCAGCACTCCACACACACACATCATCCAGCACTCACACACATCATCCAGCACCACACACACATCATCCAGCACTCACACACCCATCATCCAGCACTCCACACACACACATCATCCAGCACT